TCGACATTAAACCTCATCTGCCACATAGTTGCCCACTCCCCTATTTTATCCAGGTCCTCCTGCAATGTTACACTATCTTGGTCTGTTTCTATTACCCTCCCAATTTTGGTATCGTCAGCAAACACTGAGATATCGCTGTTTACGCCGTCCCCGATGTCGTTATTAAACAGGTTGAAAAGCATGGGTACCAGCACAGAACCCTGAGGCAAACCGCTAATGACACTAGCCCAGTCTGAAAGGGCACCATTTATTGATACTCTCTGTACCCGTTCCTTTAGCCAGTTCTCTATCCATGTACACACCCTTCCATCTATGCCCATAGCTTTCAGCTTGTATAGTAGGCGTTTGTGTGCAACCGTATCAAAAGCCTTTGAGAAATCCAGATATACCACATCCACAGACCTCCCTCCATCCAGATCTCTACTTACCCCCTCGTAAAAAATCAGTAGATTAGTCTGACAGGAACGGTCTTTCCTAAACCCATGCTGGTTGTCATTTATTTTGTCATTATCCTGAACAAATTCTACTAAGTGGTCCTTAATCATTCCCTCTAACAGTTTACAAACTACCGATGTAAGACTAACTGGTCGGTAATTCCCAGGTTGGCATCTTGCCCCCTTTTTAAATATTGGAACTACCGTAGCCCTCCGCCAGTCACTCGGAACTCTACCAGTCATTAGAGAGTCCTTAAAAATGAGGAATAATGGTCTAGGTATAGTAAAACAAATGATTATCCGCGCTATAGTGCTTTGCCCCAATCTCCTCAAAAACACCCTATTGACAGCTGCAGAGATAGAGAGAAGCTATATAAACTTCTCCCACAATATATTAAACAAAAGACACTGCGCTATCTTTAATATTATAAAACTCTAAGTGCATATACTTAGTGACAATTATACAACATATTCACTCCAACTTATATATAGTCCATATAAAAATATTCCCAAAGTTGATGTGATTAAAAATAAATGAGATGAAATCCTTGTATAATACATAATCATTGTATATATTAGAGATGGTAGAAGCTAACATCTGTATGTTAAAAGAAAAATTGGAACCGCTTATAACAGAAGTCACGAGTGATTGTGGAACTTTATATACAATATGCTTTTCGCACTCTATTTTAGCTGCCCGGATTGCTAGTTTGCATCTTTTATTACATTCTTTGTCGTTATGGAACACCAATGCCGTCACCTCCATCTTATATTTTATAAATGCCACTCGCTTTTCCTTTATGTGATGGTTTACATTTTTATTCAGCCATACAGGTTTTGTTTGTGATATTTTACTTTTATATCCCAACGGTATACATTTGGCAATGGCAATATGTAAAGTGTTTTTAAAACCTTCCCACTTTTGGTCCAAGTTCAGTTTGTGAAATACATTTTCCCATTTGATGTCCCCCACTAGGTGGCACAGTTTATTAAAGTTAGCCCTTCTGAAATTAAGGGTTCTTGTCCTACCAGCACTCTTCTCTTTCCTGTATCCAATATTGAAAGTAATCACATTGTGATCACTATTTCCTAGTGTCTCCCCAATAACAATATCCTCAATTAACTCTGCATTATTAGTAATGATTAAATCTAGGATGGCATTTTTCCTAGTTGGGACCTCCACCATCTGGACCATGAAATTGTCACGCAACATATTCAGAAATTGGCCCGCCTTTGTTGAACTTGAGGTTCCATTTGCCCAATTTATGTCCGGGTAATTGAAGTCGTCCATCACGACTACATTGCCCTCCCTCCCAGCTATTTCTATTTCAGACTGTAGATGAGCCTCCCCCTCCTCCCCTATATTTGGAGGTTTATAACAAATACCCACAATTAGTTTGCGACGATCCTCCGTCATATCCAGTTCCAGCCATAAGGATTCCACGTCCTCCCCACTATTTGAGGTGATGTCGTCCCTTATATGCATATTTAGATTATTTTTTAACATAAATGCATACCCCCCCCCCTTCTCCCATCTCTGTCCCTCCTGAACAGGTTGTACCCCTCTATATTGGTGGCCCAATCATGTGCGCTGTCTAGCCAGGTTTCCGCTATTCTCACTATATCGAAGTCATCCTCGAATATCATAAGTTCAAGCTCTTCTAATTTATTTGCCAGACTTCTAGCGTTTGTGTACATACATTTAATTCCTGTCTTGTTATTGGACAAAGGTTTAAGTGATATTGGTATTCCGGTATTACTTATAGTATCTTCAGCTATAGGATTTACTATATTGACTGCTTTGGCACTGGTGACTGGAGTGAGCCCACTATTTGCCCCTTTGTTACTTCCCTCTTTATTATATGTATTCATGTTAAGGTTTTCACTACTTAAATTTAATATTTTTATGCCCTCCCCCCATTATCTAGTTTAAAAGCTCCTCCAGTCTTTCTACCATTTTTCTCCCCAGGAATGCTGCACCTTCCCCATTAAGATGCAGCCCGTCCCGGCTGAAGAGCCGGTAGCTGACTGAGAAGTCAGCCCAGTTCTCCATTAAACCAAAGCCCTCATTCCGACACCAGTTCCGGAGCCACTTGTTAAGTTCCCTCAACACGCGCTGTCTGTCCGGACTGGCTCTTGGCACCGGTAGTATCTCTGAGAAAACTACCGTGGAGGTCCTTTCCTTCAGCCTAGCACCTAGGTCTCTGAACTCCTTTTTTAGGACACTCCAGTTTCCTCCTATTTTGTCATTGGTGCCGATGTGCACCATGACAACGGGGTCGTGCCCAACCCCATTTAGTAATCTATCAATTTGTTCCGCAATGTGCCGAACTCGCGCCCCTGGTAAGCAGCACACTGTTCGACGCTCACGGTTACGATGACAGATTACCCTGTCAGTCCGCCTGATGATGGAGTCTCCCACCACCAGGATCTGCCTCTCCTGACCCTCCATCCTGCTCCCGTCCTCGCCGGAGCAGTCACTCCCCCTGCGGATAGAGGAGGTGTCCTGCTCTAGCAGTGTCCCCCCTGTACTAATATCCCCAACATCACGCAACTTGGCATATTTGTTGGGGTGTATCAGTTCAGGGCTGACCTCTCTCGCACTCTTCCCTCTTTACATGTTATTGGATCGCATTGCATTCACCACAATGAGAAATCCAGGTTTAATTTTCTGCGTTTAGAATACAGAAATACTACAGTCACTTGGCCCAATTCTCGTTATGACATTTGCTTTTTGGAGGGAGTGAATCATTGACCTTAACAGTTATTCACCCATTACTTTCTAGAAGTGACAATGCAATTCCTTCCATTAATTCCTGTGCACACCCCAATACACACATTTGCTGATTTAGCACTGCAAAAGAGGATCTCACGCCTAACATTTTCATTTTCACCTTCCTGCTGCTAATTTGTATTATAAATAACATGAATCAGCAAAGGAAATGGTTAGCAAATGTGCCTAATCACTCCATGTCTGAAAGAAAAACACCCATTTATGAAGTAAAACATTTGATCAGCAAATATCTGAATTTGAATTTCACTTACCAACAGATAACCATACAACCAGGGGCGGACCTACTAGCAATACGCCGCTGGTTGAAGATGCCGGCCCGCGGCCCCAAGCGCCGGACACGGGATACCCTATTACAGGGACTGATGGGAAAGACTGGTTTTGGGGGGCCTCTCTGATGTCCTGCAGGCCGGGCCACCGCTGCGGTGGCATACGCTTCGTCAGGCAGCATAGAGGCTCCAGGGCTGTCAGTGTGTGCAGCTGTACTTTTTCCTTCACAGCAGCTGCTGTCCTCCTGCCTCCCGTAAATTGCGGACTCTGCAGGAGGCGGGGAGTCTTACCAGTGCACGGGATGAGAAGCCTGCACCTCTCCTGATGGGGAAACCTTATCCCATCTCCTCCCTGCCTTTCCTGTTTCCCCACCCTTTTTAGGTATATGCCCTACTACCATCTCTCTCTCTCTTTAGTGACCTAGTAACTACTGGCCCATTTATGCCGTATCCTTTTTTTTTCTTCTTTTCTTTCCTTTTCTGTCACTTAACCCCTTACCCACACAACCTACTCACATTCACTTGCCTAACACTGTGTTTTTTTGTTTTTTTTCTCTTGTTCTGGTTTGTTTTGTTGTGCACACTAAAGTTTTAAAAACAACATCTCTTATGCATGCTATTGACAGGATGTCGTTTCACTTAGGGATAGAAGTCCCTTCTCCCCCCACACACCTCCCTCGGATCCACAGATGCGCTCATAAGCACTTGGACACTTATATGTCCCCCTCTTGAGATACTTACGGGTCACTGACTAGCTGAGCAGGAGGAACACCCTACCCTTATTTTTTTCAACGCTTTAAATATCTTATTTTGTTTACTTTGTCATATACGTCGCAATGCATTTGGTGTATTTTCTTGATGACCGCCCGAGAGAGCAACTATTTGCTACTTATGCACTTGTTTTTCTCTTCTTGTGATCACCATCAAAGCTTTTAAAATATAAAATAAAGACTTTATAAAAAAGAGAAGCCTGCACCTACTGAGGAGACAGAGTTGGCAAGCAGGTATTTTGAGTATTCTGTGAGTGTTCTTCTGTTGTAAATCGTCTAAGTCCACTTCAGTCCTAGGTCCACTGTTTTGCAAAGTTCTTAGTTCAGTGCATTGCAGACTCCTGAGTCAATTGTGTTGCAAAGTCCCGAGCCCAGTGCATTGCAAAGTCCTTAGTTAATTGTGTTACTAAGTCCTGAGACCATTGCATAACAAAGTCCTGAGTCTTTTGTGTTGCAAAGTCCTGAGTCCAGTGTGTTGCAAAGTCCTGAGTGCAGTGCGTTACTAAGCCCTGGGTCCATTGCGCTGCAAAGTTCTGATTCCAAAGCATTGTAAAGTCCTGAGTCCAGTCTGTTACAAAGTCTTGAGTGTTACAAAGTCCTGAGTCCAGTGCGTTACTAAGTCCTGAGTCCATTGTGTTGCAAAGTCCTGAGTCCATTGCATTACAGGGTCCTGAGTCCAGTGCATTACTAAGTCCTAAGTCCAGTGTGTTACTAAGTCCTGAGTCCAGTGCTTTGCAAAGTCCTGAGCCCAGTGCCTTATAAAGTCATGAGTCTGCTGTGTTACAAAGTCCTGAGTCCAGTGTGTTGCAAAGTTCTGAATCCATTGCATTGCAAAGTCCTGAATCCATTGCATTGCCAAGTCCTGAGTTCATTGTGTTACTAAGTCCTGAGTCTATTTCGTTACAGGGTCCGGAGTTCATTGTGTTACTAAGTCCTGAGTCTATTTCGTTACAGGGTCCGGAGTCCAATGTGTTACTAAGCCCTGAGTCCAGTGCGTTACAAAGCCCTGAGTCCAGTGCGTTACAAAGTCCTGAGTCCAGTGCGATACAGAGTCCTGGGTCCAGTGCATTGCAAAGTCCTGAGTCCAGTGCATTGCAAAGTCCTGAGTTCATCGTGTTACTAAGTCCTGAGTCCATTTCGTTACTAAGTCCTGAGTTCAATGTGTTGCAAAGTCCTGAGTCCAGTGTGCTACAGAGTCCTGAGTCCAGTGCACTTCCAATTCATATACTATATTGCATTGCTGTATAATGTATGGCTGGGATTTGTAGTCCATCTACAGCCGGTGCCATTCTGCATTAGAGTGTAAGCTCCTCTGTACAGAGACTGATGTGACTGGCTCAGTGTTTTCTGTAAAGCACTACAGTATATGTCACAGCTATATAGTTGTATGAAAAAATAGTGTGTGACTGTGGGGGGACATTAGACTGTAAGTTCCTCTGTACAGAGACTGATGTGATTGGCTCAGTGTTCTCTATACAGCACTGCAGTATATGTCAGAGTTATATAAACGTATATACTAAAAGTGTGTGAATGTGGGGGACATTGGAGTGTAAGCCCCTTTGGTGCAGAGACCCCTTGGGAGCGTGAATGCCCGAGAAAAAATCTTGCAACAGGGCCCTTTGTTCGCCACTGCATACAACAAATGCACTTGTTCACATTGACAACTACTGCATAAGAACTCCCACAGTGGTAATCATAATCTGGATGATTTGATATTTAAAATGTCATTATTTGTGTTTCATCCAAATCTGATAATGAACTGGCATCTGAAAAGCTAATCTGAATAGCTAGATCTGCCAGTTTTTACAGCCATGAATTTCTGATATATGTGAAGCACGTCATTTTACCTATGCTGGGCCTCGGCTGGGTCGGTGGATGGTATTGTCAAACACTCATCATGACCATGGAAAAACCGAACAACATGTCCACCAAGGAGATACCCTGAAATATAAACATGTGTAAGACATATAGCAAGGTGTATAAAAAAAATCAACATAAACTATGCAAATATGTTAATGAGCCAATATATCTCTACCAAAGTAAGTTTTATAAAATTTTACTTCTATCACCAGCAATTATAGGGAGGAGAGGAGACAAATACAACCCAAGAATCCCTCCAGTATATCATGTTCTTCTTTTATTAATTATAAATATTTAGACCAATGTTTCAGCATTAGACTTAGGGTACGTTCACACCACATGCAGTGCGGCCGGCTCACTTTTTTGAGGGGCAGGAGGGGGCGAAGTGGGCCATTGAAGTTAATGGCACAGTAGCCACGCCCTCCGGCCACAATGCGATCGCCCGCATGGGATCGCAAGGCACATTGTGCCTGTGGTCCGGTGCGGGCGATCGCATTGCAGCCGGAGGGCATGGCTACGGTGCCATTCACTTTAATGGCCCACCACGCCCCCTCCTGGCCGACTAAAAAGTGAGCCGGTTGCAATGCGAGGCAGTGCGTTCTGGCCAGAATCGGCCCGGAACGCACTGCAACTGGTGTGAACGGACCCTTAAAATATCATCCCGGGTCTGAAAGAATCAACAAGACAGTAGCAACACAAAACCATGAAGGAATGAATGAAGTCCTTTATGCAATCGTACAGAAGCTAAAAGTAACTCATAATGGGCTACGTTATGTAGGTAGCATGTTTTGTAACAGTTTTTTTTAAAAACTTCACTAAGAAAAATCATTCAGATGATAGAAGGCTGCATGGTCAACTCTACCCAGTTGTGTTTACACACATGGATAAAATCCCTCTTTAGGTCCTAACCTCAGAGGCCAGAAACCTCAGAGGTGAAATTCCCAAGTAGCAGCTTGTATATGCAACTCTGTTCACAAAATCAGAATTAAGGTTTCACTCTTTCATTGATGGATTCCCCCAGTTATTTGCCTGTTCATGGGAAATCCACAGAGGAGTGTGACACCATCATTTGGCTTTGTAATGTCTCAAGAAATTAAATAGAACTGGAAATTCTGTAAAAATAATCTTTCTACTGGATTCCCTAAGAGCTATACGAAGCCGGCATATGACTGAACCGTTCAGCAACCATGCACAGGTGAAATATCAGCTTTGGGTGGAGTTTTCTTTCAAGTATGTAACATAATCAAAAACAAATCATATACTTTTTTGTAGAAGTATTATTCAGGCTATCTGCAATCCAATTTAAAATTAAGTTTCAAATATCTTAAAAGTATATAAACAAAAAGTACAAAATTATATATGTCCTGTGTTTTCCGATCATTTGTTAGTAATTGGCCACGGAGAATATTCGATTAAGGGAATTTATCAAAACTGGTGCAGACAAAATCTGGAGCAGCAGTGCATGGCAACCAATTAGCCTCTCTCTTTCATATTCAAATCTTAACTGAACCAACTGAAGAGAGAAGCTGATTGGTTGCCATGCACAGCTGCTCCCGATTTTGTCTGCTCCAGTCTTGATAAATTCCCCCCAATATGTTTATATGACAAGATGCCCCTTTTAATGCTTTATTTTCAAGAAAGTAAAAAGAAACATTTTCAGAAAAATTGTAACAGTCATGAAGTATAACAGAATAAGGATGGTTTATTGGATCAGCTGGTAATAAACATGACTGTGACATTTCCTGAAGACAAATTATATCAGAGGTGAACGGTATAAAACAGAGATAGAAAAAAAAAAAAGGTTACATAGAGATGACACTTATCAATGTGCGTCATATTTAGATCCTTAGGGCATTGAGCTCATGATAAGGAGAAAACAGAGGGGCTTAGCTGCTGCTGTCAATGCTAATAGTAGATATAACGTTTCAGGCCATTTAACTTTAGATCGGATACAAATTCTGCCTCACAACCAAAGAACAGAAAATTCTAATCTGAGTTTTATCTGAATGCTATCAAAACCAAGCTTGTAGACACTACAAAAAATAGCAATGCTGAGTTTGAGTTGGGAATGGGAATACTTGGTGCCCCACTAAAACTATTTAAATTAAAATTTTAAACCAATATTGTTATTATTTAGAAATATGGACCATTAATGTTATCAACTTCAAGCTTTGACACAGATAAATATTTACAACAGACCTGCAATGTGGCTGATTTACTAAAGGTGTAGAGAATTTTCAATTACTTTAGTGTATAAAGTATAAAGTGGCTTGCGATCCCTGCGGGCGATCGCATTGCGGCCAGAGGGCGTGGCTACGGTGCCATTCACTTCAATGGCCCGCCACGCCCCCTCCAGCCCGGCAAAAAAGTGAGCCAGGCCACAATGCAAGGCAGTGCGTTCCGGCCAAAATCAGACCGGAACGCACTGCTTATGGTGTGAACTAACCCTTAGTTAATCAGCTGCATTGGTTCAGAAATTATCCACCCCCTGGGTGGATGAATGGCAGGCCAGTTTTTGTTCTTTCCACAAACTGAAATATATAATTCTAGGGACACATTTCATTATCCTCAAATGGGAAAAGTACCATGGAGTACTTTTTTTCAGTGTTAGATTAATTCCCTTCATGCCAATTACACACAAAAAAAATATTGTTTATAAAGTATCAATAAAATCCTGCCCACAATGGTGACCACATACAAACACTACGAGGGGAATTGATCAAAACTGGAGCAGACAGAAACTAGAGCAACCAATTTGAAAATGAAAGATAGAGGCTGATTGGTTGACAAGCACAGCTGCTCCAGATTTTGATACATCCCCCTCTGTGTGTTTAAAGTGAATTAATCCAGCAGTAAAGCAGCGCAACTAGGAACAATCGAGTGAAACACAACAATACTTTAAGTAATGTAAGACAGACCTTCTTCCACACTACTCCCAGAGCATGTAGGATGGACATTCCACAGTGTCTGCATGAAGGAAGCATCCACCTGAATATTGCCCATTCCATTGGATATGGAGAGATGCTATGGGATATAATTAAGAATTGGTTACACAGTTAAAGAGACAAATATAAAATTTAACGTATCCTGTGGTACAACAATTTGATTGGCTTTTCAAATGCAGAGAAACAGGTTTCCCTTTTATCAAGTGCTGGCACAAATATCTGAAAACAGTTTTAACAAAGGCCCCTTTCCACAAACAACTTTTTTAAATGAAACAGCAATACTACCAGCTTTAGCAGAACAGAGCATTGTGTTAGCTTTTCAGCTCAAGCTTAGCACACCATGAAGCTAAGAAAAATAAAACTATGTTTTTTGTGATCTCAGTGAACACCACCTAAAGCTGGCCATACACCTATAGATTATCTGCAGATTTTCTATTGTCAGATGGAAAAAGTGCAACAGATTCCTCTATCTACGCTCAACTGTGTGGATGGAGGAATCTCCCACTGCGCCAAGCTATAATATCTTGCTAGTCGGCCCTGCTTTTTCCATCTGACCATAGAAAATCTACAGAAAATCTATAGGTGTATGGCCAGCTTAAGACCCCATTCACAATTCCTCTGTGAAGGTGCCCATACACTGTACGATTCTCGTACGAGAATCACGGGAAATCCCGCGATCGTGTGATAATCGTACAGTGTATGGAAGGCGTGCGTCCGTTTCTACTGTAGGTCGCACGTCTTCCGTCGAACAAGCAGGCTTGAAAACCCGCCGGGAATCGTACGATTCTCACCGGGTTAATGGTCTGCTTGTTCGACAACTGCCGAACGGGCCGGTGTGCCCGTTTGCAGTCATCGGAAGCCCACCCCTCATGGGGGTGGGCTTGCGATGATCGCAAGTACGATCTGCCAGTCCAAGATGGGCAGATCGTATCTTACGATTCTCGGCGGGTTAGGGCCTGCTTGTTCGACAACTGCCGAATGGGCTGGTGTGCGCACGCCCCTCACTGCCCCTTATTTCGATGATCGCAAGTACGATCTGCCTGTCCAAGATGGGCAGATCATACGAGCTTTTAATAAGCTTACGACCATCGCAAGACAAAAGTCTTGCGATGGTCGTAAGGTGTATGGGCACCTTAAGACTCATGCAATCTGCTGCAGGCAGAAAGTGCTGTACAATACAATGACAGGTGGCACCGCCCCCAGCTGTTTGCAGGTCGTTCCCAAGTAATCACACTGGCTGAGATTATTTGTGGATGATTGCACCTGGAAGCAGACTATTTTTCTCTTTTGTCTGCAGGTATTCACAGTCTGTGCGATTAAATATGATCATAGACTGCATGAGTCTCCGGGAGGAATTCATGCAACTCAGCAATCCGGTCCCTTTGACAAATGTGAATGGGGCTTAGAGTAGCATTAAACTCTCAATTTTTTTTCCAATAATGAATCCAGATCAAACAAATATACATTGCCCAACAAAGCATTGCTTTACATTTTTGACAAAACACTTACAATCATCATGTTTCTGAACAGCTCCAACTCTCTCAGCTCAGCTTCCCTGAACTTACAATCCAGTACAAATTTCAAAGGACAGTGCAGACTCCAGCAACTGTTCATCTACTAGTTTGGAGAAGGGAGGACGGAGGAGAGGGTGTCTGTGTGTTTGTGGAGACACACACAGCTTACTAGCACACACAAGGGTGACTACATGGCACTCTGCTTGAGAAAGCAGGCACTCAAAAACAGGAAGTCAGGACCAGTGCCCAAGGGACCAGCTGATTCTGCAGGAAACTAAAACGTTTAAACATCAAGAAGCAGCATTCATTGTAAGTGATTCCACCAGCATTTGAAATAGCTTAAACTCCTTTTGACTTTAATTTCACTTTGAAGCTACATTTATTGTTTAAAAATGCTGGTTCAAAAAGTAGTGTACTGCAGTGAAAATCATTACACATTTTACAAATACATAATTACTTTCACAATTTTTAAACAAGATACTTGCACACATATTTATATAGCATGAGATACCCCTACTAGAATGGTAAATGAAGAAATTGGCATGAATAATTTATCATTTGTGCAACAGTGGCACTGAAGGTAAGGTTGGGATTATTAAATCAGGTTTTACGTCACAGATATATTCAATTAAAAGAGAAAAAATGTTCTGGGCTAAAACTGCTGTAAAGGATTCAAGCTGAGATACTCTCTTAAAAGGCTTTTAGCAAGGGAGAACTCAACACTATCAGTAAAACGTGTCGTTACACAAGAGAGAAGGCAGTACTAAAGGTTGTAAATGGCTACATGCATCTACTATCAACTTATAACTCAGTATTGTTCCCAGATGAAAGGGCAGGAAGCTAATGATTCTGATTAAAATATTTGTAGACATATGCCAAACTCACTAATGGCCACTCAAAGGAGCTGAAAATCATTTTTGCTGGGTATCATGAGCTTGCCAACCCAATTCAAAACTAGATTCAGATATGGATGCAGAGGAACTAGATTAAACGATTTAAAGAACACTTTTAATGAACAAGTGAAAACAATCATTGAACTGCTAAATCTATCCAGGAGATGCTGCAATTATGCTAAATGCAGAAAGTCCACACTATTTCATGTGGCCAGAATACAGAGAGCTCCTTTCAACTGCCCATTCAAGAATCAATGGGTACAACTGTAACACCAGCAAAATACCACATATATATCATCTAATCTTTGTATTTCTTCCAGAAAGTAGAATACTTACTAGGTATCTTTCAGAAGACACACTGACTAAAATAAGATCATCTCCAATCCGAACCTTTTCTCCCTCAGATCTCTGTTTGGATGCAGGATGTATTGTCCACCAACAGGCTTCTCCTATAACCAAAATATGGGTCAGTATTATTTCACTATAAGATTACTTTTTAAAAGGGCAATGATATTTTCCAAAAATATCCTTGGTCTGTAAGAGAGTTATCTGGATGCAATGTATAAAATAAGGACTAGACTTATACAGATGACCCTGATTTCCGGAGCTAATGTTTTTTTAATGATTTTGCTTTGAAGGGATGCTAGTCCATGTAATTGAAAGTGCATTTATACTTTTGCAGCCAAATTGGGATAAAACCTATTTTATATTTGTACAATTTTTCCATTCACATAGCATAAGCTTAAAAAATATTTAAAACATTGATTTTACTTGGGTTTTTTAAGTGTTAAAATATCTACTTGCTTTTCTTTCTTTGTAATGTTAGGAGGGGCTGCGAGAGGTTTGTTCATTAATATTTGTAAAGTAGGTTTAAAAAATTGCCTATCCTAACAAAGGGTTAAAGGATCAAAAGCCTGGCTAGTGCATTGCATGTTAGTGAACGTAATGGGAGAAACAAAATCCTCAAATTGCAGTCCTAAGTCTTTCTATAGGGACAGATGACGGTAAAGTTGCTCAGAAAAACCTGAAATCAGCCATGTTGCCTGCTGCAACAAAACATCCAAAAGGTAATAAATATTGTTTTAAATTTGTTTTCTCGTTATGCTGTGTGAATACGAACACATAAACATTTATTTTTCCAGAATAGGCTTCGTCAGGCCAGCTGCCAACCTGAAGGACCAATATTTGATTTCAGGTGGGTTGGTTTCCAACTTTCCATACATTAAAAGATCCCATTTGCCTTGGTCATGCATGAGGGTTCCCAGTCCTTTGATCTTGAGGATCCTTATTCTTATCTGCAAGTCTATAGGAATAGCACTTTATGACTGGGGATGCTAACTTGGCCAAGACACAAGTCATGTAAATAATTTTAGGGGGACCCCACTCCCTTAGAGCAGGCTCGGTATTGGCATTGATACTAGTGTCTGTATGGGTGCATCCCTAATTATAATAAAAGGAATGATCATCACTTCACTTTGCTGTCCATTTCAGCAAAAAAAAAAAACAGCAAACAGCAATATAAGGTAACTAGAATTTTAATTCTATAGAATGCTTAGGAAAGTTTTGCTTGATGGGGAAGGGGCAGGACACTTCTCCCCATGTGCAACGCCGGCCACATTCGGCCACACGAGCACCGCGGGACAGGATGCCAGCGCACGGGAGGAGACTTGGGAAGCTGCTGCAGTGAAGGTAAGAAGAGAGAGACAGCAGAGAAAGTGAGAGAAGAGACAGCAGAGAGAGAGAGAGACAGCAGAGAAAGTGAGAGAAGAGACATTGAGCTCATCATTTGAAAAGTAGATCTCCAGATGAAAAATTGTAGGCACCCCTGGTTTAGAAAGTATAATTATCCTTTTAAATGTTGTGGACTGCACAGTCATACTTTTTGAAAGACTGTGTTTTTTACTGACTTGGATAGTAAAATGGAGGTCAGTGCAAAAATAATACAGCCTTGCAGGAAAGCAAGGAAACAAAGACTCTCTAATCAGAGCTTACACAGGACTGAGGACTGTCTCCCAGCTTCCATGTGACAGTGCTGAACCTATCGCCAAGCACCAGCACTGAGGAACGGAAGTATGTTACATGCTCCACCATAGCCAAATTTGCAGGTATTTTCTGTGCTACTGATGGCTAAATGGAGCCGCAGGGGAGTAAAGGAAAGGTGAGTATTTGCTTTAAGAAATAATTCACACAAAAATATTGAATGAATATAGAAAATAAAAAGCAATCTGATCATACCCGTTGCTGTGTCTTGCAGTCCAACATCAAATGCAAGTTTGTCTGTGAGTGATCTGGATGTGGTCAAACATGTCAAGTACTGTTAACAATGTAAAAGAAATGAAGGTGAAATTAAACTCATTTCAACTGTAGTTTAATTAAGTGCATCACAGAGTAAGTATAATAACAGATGTGTTTATATAATAAAGAAAATGTATTGAAGATATCCCAGCTATACGTTTTTCAAACAAGCTGGCTACTTAAACAAAGAACAAAAAATTATATATTTGCTGACAAAGAAATTAAAAACAAAGTCTGCTGATAGCATCGACTTTTTTTTTTTTTGGATAATTTATTTGCTATATGGTTGTAATAATAGATAATCTTTTACAGCTATTTTTACAAGAAAGCCTGTCAGTTATGTATTAAAGCATATGTAAACCCAAAAAGCAAGCATGCAATATACTGCAGTTTTGTCCTTGTGGTGGCTGCATTAGTCTTTTTTCCCTAAATTTCGCCAGTTAACCTTGTGAAAACGCATTTCATTTCCCTGTGTGGCTATGCTCACCCCTCCCCTGTACCTATGGAGGAAGCCATGGTTTAAATTAAAAGAACTAATATGCTAAATATGTCTGACATGCTGATTGGTTAAAATGGGCAACTGCTCCAGATTCTGTCTGCTCCAGTTTTGATAAATCTCCCCATAGAGTTTTGTTCCTAAATGCCTTATTGCTGTAATGTTTAGTCACTGCATGATATCCTTGACTTTGTCTGTACATTACCTGAGTGCTTTCTTTTTCTTCTGTGTTTTATACTTTTGTAAAAATGTTTTTTGTAAAACTGTTTCTGCTTAAATAAAGAATTTATAACAAAAATTAAAAGTTGTTAGACACGGTGTGTTAATATAAGTGTATTTAGGTTGTGAAGTTTAGAGTTTCATACACTGTATATATTTATTTTGTTGTAATAAATCACGCATATAGAGCACATATTTTGTATATTAGCGCAACACTAATTCTTTTTATTTACACTTTGTACATAATTAGTGACTGGCTCTTCAAGTGTTGCAGCTCATCACATTTGGCGCGGGACTCAATCTTTTAATTCTTTTTTGTGTTTCGATAAGCCATGGTTGCCACCCAGGCTGGACTACATATATGTCTGCCATCTTTATTTTATAGTGGCTGATAGAATTTGTAGTTTTGCATAAAAAAGTTACTTTTTTGTCTTCAGTGCAGCGCACAGGAAGTGACAAAGTCACTGCAGTCTGGCAAGACCAACATGTATTTTCTGTTCTTGCTGAAAATGTCTTAGCCTGAAGAAAAGGAAACTAATGCAGCCACCACATCTAAAGGAAGGTAAGCTACAACATATTAAATGTTTGCTATTGGGTTTAGCCTTGCTTTAATAAGCACCAAGAGACTGGTAGTAACATATGTACATACCTAAAATGGTGTACACCTTGAAAGCTGTACCAAAATAGCACAAAAATAAAAAAAAAGAGTTTTGTGGACATGTACTTGAATATTTAAAAACATATCTACATACCATTCCACTAAATGAATGTCTTAGTAAGATAGCATGGCCATAGAGTAAAGTCCTGTGTCCGCCTCCTTGCGATGCCTGTGGTGTAATAAAGAAAGCATTTCATTAACATCATCCTGTAATAAAAGTTGAATTTAGGGACTTATAGTAGTTCAGGAGCTGAATCTGTAACATTTCTCCTTGAAAGGGAGATAGACACATTTCATAAGTATAGACAAGTACAATTTATACATGGGGATGTCTTGTAATCTTAATAACAAGGAATATAACTTTTATTACATTATGAATAATGTGCATATTCTATACACAATATAGAATGTGCTTAGATCCAACAAAACATGCAGCAGACCCAGGGCAGTAGGACTACATACCAAGCACATTTAACGAAATATATAATAAAAAACAAATCCAAAATGACAGAAAAAAATGACAGTTTTATGATGAGGGGTGATCTGGGGATATGTGTCTCTGGGGATTATTGCATGCGATAGCGTCTTTTTATTTATAATGAGCATGTCATCATGGTGTTGTCTGCTTGATATGTAGTTAGACTGGATCCGTTCTCAGTGACAGGTTATCTGTTTTTTTTATTTCATGACAAAAAGGATCCTTACCTTCCTGGTAAACTTCTTGGGAGCAGCATTTAAAAAAACAAATATAAGTGAAGAAGCCTTAGGGGCTACATCTATTGGTGTATTACAGCATTATTAATGCCAGCCTTCGTAAATTCTATGAGGTTCATGTATTTCTGTATAGGAACATTAACACAAAATTGGTGAATTTGTTCATGTGGCATACAGACTAAGAGGCACACTTGTTTTCATACAGCATAGTAGGCTCTGATGGTAAACCATCTGAACACATAAGGAATAGAGTTAAGTGAATAATGAGCCATGGCTAGTATTACCAATACAAAGGGATTTTGAGCTCCCAAAACACACAGGCATGTAAACCCACATGTTTATAGATATATCTTTCTCAAGAAAGACCCTTTGGCCAGGAGAATGAATGTGCTTGAACATTTCATCTGCTCTGATGCTTTTGGGCACCTTTAGCATTGCGCGTATAAAAGGGAGGTAATACACTTGGTGTATTGTTGCTCATTTTTCTACAAAATAGTGTACAACTGTCATGAAAAACATATACAAATTCTGAATCAATAATAACAGACAATGTGATTTGAGGGTGCATTTTGGTCAACATAAAAAGAGAGGGCATACTTGTGAAGAAAAGACAAATAGTTATATTAGTTGTTTAAAAAAAACATTTAAACTGCTATATCTAATTTACCCTCTTTACATTATATTTTAAACAGAGCCCTTTATTGCTATGTTTCCCTGCTGCAGATTTTACCTCACTTCTTGTCCAATAAAAGGTTGTCCCCAGAACAGAACATGACAGGAAAGCTCTCTAACAGAGCAAAACCTGACAGGGATTATAACCTTTCTCCATCCTATCCAAAACTTTAAAAAAATAATAGAGTTGTGTAAAAGTTGTGTACTCGTCAAAACTCAGTAAATATATTGGTACCAACTGACAGAAAAGCACCTGAAATGTACCATTCATTTATTTCCCCATAAACCTCTGCATAAGAGATTGAAGACCAATATTAACAGTCAAACAGGGCTCTACAGCTTTGTGACAATAAAGATAGGATAGGTCACACCAAACACGTTCCAGATGCAGAGCAGAGCAGTTACAGAACGGATCAAAACAGCGTCCAATGTATTCCAATGGTATTTTGGGCTCTAGTTCACACCGCAGCGTTCAGTTCCAGAGCATGTAAAAAAACTGCAGCAAGCCCATTTTTTCCTGCTCTGGAACGCATTCAAATGCATCAAAAACACATGCAAACCCCATGGAACACACTGAAAGCCCATTCGAAACAAAAAAAATAAAACCTTTTGCATCAAAAACGTAGGAAAAACGCGGTATAACACACTGCACTGCGTGTGCAGAAACTCATTCTGATATTGTCTGCATTTGGTATGAACAAGCCCTTAGTAGATAAAGGAAGCAAAAGGGAGTAACACACCCCAGCAGACTTTACTATTTAACATAAAAACCACCAATGGATGCACTGATCCTTTTAAAGGCAGGATCACTAAGACAAGCCTGTACAGAAAAAAAATGCAGGCTGCCACTGCTAACCTTTCCTTCTCAAAACAATAGTTGGCTGTCTGTCAAGTAGATTCAATTCACTTTATCTGTTGTGCACATGTTCCAGGTCAGTGACTCCACAGTATTGCAGAGAAAGACAGACAAGCAACTAACCTTTTTTAAAGGAGGTCAGCAGGGAATGGCTACACATTTAGGGGTCTATTCACAAAGCTGCCGAAGGATCTAGCCGTAGCTTCGACCCCAGGACCTCTTCGGTTCTGTAGAACCAAAGGGCTGCTGTACGGGCTATTTACTATAGCCCGTACAGCTCCTGAAGTTGGCCGAGGGGCTTAGTCGAGCCGAAGGCATATGCTGTGGCTCGACTGAGCCGAGGTTACATCCGAAGCTGGCCATTGGCCGGCCGACAGCCTGCCTCCGACTGCTGGGCGGAGCCAGCCAGCCATCATCTCACGGCTGGCGCTGGCCACTTGCACAGACAGATCAGCGTCCCTGGTCTATTAGATAACGGCTCTCGACCACCCGAGAGAGAAACACTTTCTCCCAGAAAGTTTTACTCTGCTCGATCACGCAGAGTAAACCTTTCCCTGCTCTGTTGTCTTTTTTTTTCTCTTCTGACATCGGAGCCGTTGGCTGCCGTCATGATAAATAAAAAAAATAGGAATGCATAGCTACATTCCTATTGGCTATTTCAATTTGCAATAGCCAATACCAAACTAGCTATTGCACCCACCCATTGCTGCTGTCAATCAGCAGAGGGGACATGAAGTTTTCCATCAGGTCCCCTTCTAGTGATTCTAGTGACTCTAGCTATGCATTCCTATTCATACCAGAACACATGCCCCTCAGCATTGGGGGTGACGCGTTGCAAGAGGTTCCCCCCCAAAAAATGGAGAGCTCCAGTGATGCCCAAGGGTGTCCCTCCCTCATTGGCAGGTCTCATGAGAGGGGAGCATAGGTACCCTGTTTCTCATTGAACCCATGACATAACTGCCCATATTTGGTATTAGTCCAAATATAAGAACCCCTTCCCCAGAATTCTGCGGACACTTAATTCATGCTCATCATGGTTAATTCCTCATTGCTCAAATGGTGTTTGAGCATCTTATATTATTGAGCATTACAAATTATTTCATTAAAATCAACAATCATATCTTTGGGTATTTTCAGTCCTCTACAGACTCTGTTGTCCAGCTCTTGTACAGTGTCTGTGAAGGTTCTTATTCATCCAGGTCATGGTATATCTGTAAAAAATAATTCAAAGCAGCTGTACTTACTGTATTTTTCTTGAAGACTGGGTTGGATGACCAGTGAAGCGTCTTCAAGAAAAATACAGCAAGTCCAGTTGCCTTGAATTATTTTTTACAGATAGCTCTTCTACTGGTTACGAAAATTTTGATATCCTAGTTTACATATTGCTTTTTATTCTCTTTCACTTGTATAGTTTATAGCTGGCTAACGTAGTACACTATAGCACATATATTCACCAAGAAGCTGCTTCTCATTCTCCACACAAGGTCTATTGTACAAAAAAACATGGTAATGCTCATACAAATCTCCCAATCCCTTCAATGCAGAGTCAGCATTAATATGAATATAAATATATAATGGCATACAAGAGCATCCCGGTATTTTCAATTGCCAATAGTCCCTCTAAGGCAAAACATAACCAGCATGAATCATTTGAAGCAAAAATGTTTACAAGATAAATGAAGGCAATATAAATTGTTCAAGTTCACACCAAATGGATCCTCATATTATAAGATTTTAAAAAAAGCAATTAAAAAGTCTCTCAGTATTGTAAACACTGAAGTGAATTCAACCAGCATGCACTAATAAGCAAAAGTAATAACCACCCCACATCCATAGTGCAAATGTAGAGGCATCTTTGAAAGCATTTCATCAGAAATAGGGCAGGCATCCAGCATCATTGTCCACAGAAGTGCACTTGTGGCAATGTCTCAAAGAAACTTTGGTGTTTCTAAAGGAGGCCATAGACTTTACAACCCTCGCAAGACTTTTGTCTTGCGAGAGTTGTAAAGTAATTAAAAAAACGTACGATCTGCCCATCTTGGACTGGCAGATCGTACTTGCGATCATCGCAAGCCCACCCCCATGAGGGGTGGGCTTCCGATGACTGCAAACGGGCACACCGGCCCGTTCGGCAGTTGTCGAACAAGCAGACCATTAACCCGGTGAGAATCGTACGATTCCCGGCGGGTTTTCCAGCCTGCTTGTTCGACGGAAGACGTGCGACCGTACAGTAGAAACGGTTGCACGCCTTCCATACACTTCGCGATTATCGTATGATCGCGGGATTTCCCGCGATTCTCGTACGATAATCGTACAGTGTATGGGCACCTTAATGGTTACAGATACACATAAATAAAGATCTCAGAAGGCAAATATATATCCATAGGACACGACAGTTGTACTGTGCTAATGATTTTTAAATAAGTTTTTAAGGCATTAGGTTGAACTTTAATGGCCTCAGAAACTATCCCTGGTAGGCCAGCTTTAAAATGTGAAGCAATTTCCGAAGCTAGCAATTTATAGTCTATAGTATGGCCTGAAGCAGCCGACTAAACCTTGGAATCTCCATCAGCAAAGTGTTAACCACTGCCATTTTAGGCAGCAGCCTCTGTCTAGATTTGCCTCATGGCAGAGGGAGCTTAGTGAAAGTAGGTGCTGACACAAACCTGTCCCTGGTAGGGTCAGCACCCATGAGCAGGAACAGAGGAAGTTTTCTGACCTGGGAGTAATTAGCTGAGAGGGCAGATTGGCAGGCAGTGGGACAGCAGTTGGGAAAAGGAACACTTCCAATTTGAGAGACCTGGAGCAGTTGGCGAAAGAAGAGTGGTCAGATTTCCTGTAGAGAGGTGTATGATACTCATTGATGGTTACAGGAAGCAATTGATTTGTAATTTTTTTTCCAAGGGCTGTGCTACCAAATATTAATT